TTCACAGATCCACTTTGGGCATTCAAATTGTTTGGTTTCCATGTCTCTGAAAGCTTGGACAGCTTTAGTATTTCACAAACAGATCTATGTAAATGACTAACACCTGTGTTGCTCCACAACCCATGCTATTTGCATAATGTGTCATTGCTTACTTCATTTATGTGATTAATATTACAGATTAATTCTTTGTGAAATTAGGCACAGAATCTCAAAAAGAACATTCGCTTTCTAATATGCAAGAGGGTTCAAGATAAAAATACAGAAGAGGGCAAAATTCTAATTTCCAGTAAGCTTAAGCCAAATGATGATGGTATTGTGAATTACCAACAGATTCAATCCATTATGATGGCTACACAGTTGGATGATTTAGGGGGCATTTAGGCGATGTTTTTCCTCTCTCAAGCGCACTTCTTTTCATTGTTGAATATGGAGTAACATGTACTGCAACAGAAGAGCACTCCTCAAGCCTGCCCAGCACACTTCATGGTTTCAAACTGCACATTTGCGTTGAAAAATCATCTTTTCCACTTGGAGCCACAAAAAAGCACTATACATCACAGCTGACCAATCAATTCAATATACAGTAGGCCTTCTCTTTAGTCACTACAGAGGAATACCTAGTTTCAGCTGTTTCACAAACTGAATGTGAAACTAGTGTTCACAATGTATTTTTTTATAAGTCAGTTTCTAAATGTTTCACTCTCAATTTGCTTTCTCTTGTTTATCTACACTCACAGAAAAAAGGTACTGAATTGTCACTGGGGTGTCTTGTCTAAGGCTTTTTATTTTATTTTCCTATATTAAAACATTTGGTTAGGAAAAGGTACAAGTACAGCCCTTTGTCCTGGAAACGTGAAAGTAGTGCACATAGTGTGTGAAATAACCCCTGGTAATCAGGGTGCCCTATGTTGGCTGGATTCTCCAGTGTTGGCTGGCTGCTAACTCATTTGCCGTAGCCATATTGACGCTAGCTTCAATAGCAACAAAATGTTTGGCTTAACAGTCCTTTCTTTGGAAATGCTTTTTTCTAGTTTGGTAATGTGGCCTTCTATACATTAATGAGATCTTACACATCTGTTCTGACTTCAGTTTGAGAAATGAGTAACAATTCACTCTTGGGCAAGTTTCTGATTTACAAATATGCTGTGGTGTACTGTAAAGTTTTTCAGAGGTATCCTGGCCATAGTTATAGTTGCTAGGCTATGAAGGGCCCACTGGGTGAACCAATTTGATGCAGTGCCACGCTGAGGCAGATCAGTGCTGCATCTCTACTTAGTTAAGGATACCAAAGATAGAAGCTAACTGACTGTGGGTGAAGCAGCTAAACAATGAGCTTTCCCTGATTTTTATTTGAGTGTGTATTTTTCTAATGGACAGCACAACATCAAAGTAAGTTTATGTTCACGGACTCCCCAGAATTTTGATTTTGAAACATTCATGGTGTCCAAGAGGTTAATTAGGCGGTCCTGTATTTTGCACCTTGAGCTTACCTTTAAAACTCATTTAAGATACACAAAAAGACGTTGTACCTTTAAGGTTACAACTGTATTGTTTCTTGACAAAACAAAATGTACCCGTACTGTACCTTTTTTTCCTCACAGTGTACTTCAAATACACAAACAAATGTGTTAACTCACTCCCATAAAGGAGTGTGTCATGTTACTGTATAAGCATGGGACAAATCACACCTTATGTTCAAAAAGGCATCATCTGAAAAGTAAAGTAAATTACATTTGTCTCGTAACACATTTTCTTTTATTTTGTAGTCCATGTCCTGTTTCATTCCTAATATATCTATCTTCAAAACTATAGCAATGCACCACAGCACTTTTTTCTTTAAGTATGGTTATAACGAAGCCCTGTTCAGACAGGATTAGTTTTCCATGTGCTCTCTTTCAATGACTCTGTTTGGGTAAGAAAAAAAACTAAAGCAAGATCCAAATTGAAAAAAATCAACAGAACACCCTTTGTGCCACTGAAAATAGCATAACTTTATATAAAGTTTTTACTATCTCACAACAGATTAAAAGACAACTGATGAATCTGGGTTATACCCAAAACTAAGACAATCAATCAGTCACATCGCTCCTAACTTTCCAAATAAAACCATGTGGTTCTCACTGATTATTGAGTAATTGGCCAACACCTGTGCTCGTCAACGCAACGACAGACTTTGCGTACGACTGCTGATCTAATGTTTCCTTAATTTTCCATATTTTCCTCATAAGATAAGAACACACTGACAAAACTGATAAATAGTTTTACTTTGTTGTACATATTATTATGAGAAGCTTTCAAGTGCTTCTAAATCTTGTAAATCACATGTATTTTACTGAAAAAGAAAAAAACGATGAAAATGATATTCCAGTGTCTTCTATGTCTCAGTATTTGAACTTGATTGGAGCGCTACATATCCCTAAAAAGTGTCTGAGTAGATGATAAAACACCAGGACATCATTATGAAACCATTACATCAAGAGGATTTTCTTAAAAAGAATTTAGTACCAAGTCAATAGGCACACATTTGGATTTTTTTAAAATGTGGCTACACTGCACTATTTACACCATTACTCACAAATCAATTCAGATCAATATCAATGGTCATGATCAAGTCAAATAAGGCCTCAGTACCTCCTAGGCTTCTTTTTCAGGTTTTGTTCAAATAATAATGAAGTTTGTAACCCTTTCCAAAAGACAGGACCACCCACTCTCAGAAAACTAAAGTCCTATAGATTTTGCTTTTCTTTAGCTTTTCTTTGTTTTTTCAGATTTAATTTTCAGTGATTCAGACTGTTTTGTTTTTACCCTCAAAATCTGTTATGAAGGTTTACAATCTTTTTTTTTTTAAATAACACCCCTTGAGATTAGTTTTATCGCTACTTCATATTATTTAACTTCATACAAAATTAAAATAAATATCTTTAACAATAATGACATAAATACTTCAAACCTGACTGACATAACGCTCACTCTTCAGGACTAGTAAAAACAGCACAAGTGCTTCCAATATGCTCAATGCTCTAGCAACTTTGGGGCAGACCCCTTAAATGAGAGCTTCACCTACAACCCATCCATCTTCCTGTCTGTTTCTAGTAGCCCAACAATAATCCTGATCTGAAACATGAGTTTTTCATCACACAGAACTCTGTGTAGAGTTGAAGGTGCCCAGCATGGTAGACCACTGCCTCCTCTTCATTGACAAAAACTTTAATTTACTTTCCCTTGCAGACTTCTTAAAGAAGGCAAACTTCACCAAGCTCACCTGCCTCACATACTGACACGTGCTAAAACTTTTTCTCAGCTATCATAACACTGGTGACACTGTGGTCTTGGATATCTGTTATATCTTCTACTACCTTAGAAAGAATATCCTTGTGTAAGACCTGTGTCAAATTAATTGCCAAAGGCTACTCTTATCGGGTAATGCACCAATATGCTTTCCATATTTAATTAAAAAGTATTTTTTAATCATTTAAATACGGTGTTCCTTTGTTTTCTCAAGAGGAATGTTAGATTTCATGCAAATGGCAACAAAATCTTCCATCTTCTGACAAGCTCTAACTGCACTTGTAAATGAGCTTTGTCAGTATTCCCCTCACATCTTTGCTTGTGATATTTTGGTTTGCTGTCACTTTGATATGCCGTTTACTAACCTAGCCTACTGGAACTAAAGCAAGCCGCAAAGTGATCCGTGCGCCTGTTGGGCAGCTGATGCAAGCAGTTACACAAGTACGTCATTCCTCTTCAGCAGGGCAGTTAATGCGATATTGAAGCACAATTTTCTGCGATTCCGGTTTATATTCAGTAAAATCTGCCATTCTGTGAACAAAAACAGAGTCACACCAGCCAGTAATCTGAAAAATGAAACAGACATTAAAATGCAGGAGCAGTGGAAAAAGAAAGTGACAAGTTCAGAAACCAAGCCGCTCTGAGGGGGTCAAGTAGCATTGTTCCCAGGAAAAAAAAAGTGATTTTAACATGAAAATTCTGGTGCGGCCTGGTACACTCATGGAGACAAACATACTTGGGTAATTACTGTGTAGTTATTTAGTTCACTGAGTTATGTTAGAATGAAGTTAGAATGATGCAAATACGAGTCATGTCCACAGACTGTAGTGTTCTGTTGCTTAACATCCCAAGGTCAAAAGAGTCCATTTGTAAGAAATCTGGCAGACATCTTTTGAGAGCCTGCATCTATTATAAATCGAGGCCATTCTCTTTGCCAATCAATTATGTTTTTCAGGCTACGTAGTGGCACGACCTGTTTGGACCCTGATGACTGCCACTTGCGATGTAATCTGTAGATGGTTATTTAGCTCTTAAAGCAGTTACGACAGTTCACAAAAATCAATGTGCTGTACATCAGTTTAAATCATTCAATTTTAAATTTTAAGTTTGAATCAAAATTTAATGGATGCTAATTGACTTTGTTGCTAACAATGATAATTTACTTGTTAACCTTTTCTCAGCCACCATTCAAAAAAAAACTCTGAACACACGAAAATAAAACCAACTTTACCGCTCATAAACCATGGCTCTTTTTTCACATTTCAATAATGTTTTCTTAGTTCTGACTGGCCCATACAAATGAAATACAGTATGTGTGGTTTGGCTGAATAATGACTGTGAACAGCTGCTGCGCTATGTTTGAAGGAGAGGTGGGATTCTCCCTCAGAAGGATTTGAGGCCACCTTTCCCAAAACTAAAAAACTCATTAAATCTTCATGAATCACATGAATGGCATTTTCATCGCAAGATATACAGTGACAATTAAAAATGCGCAGAACTCATTTACTATTTCTGCATTTTCACTTTTTCCAGGGAGGGACTATCAACACCCCACAAGATGAAGGGTGGGACTAAGATAACCTTAACCTGTACCATGCATGGGTGTCTCTACAACCATTTCTGAATTCCAGAGAGGCTGTGAGGTCCAATGAAGTGTTAGACTGCCAAGAGGCAACATCTCTTCAGATGTAAAAAATATTCATGTTTCAGAAATGTTTGCAGAGGAGGGACCACTATTACTGAATTCACCATCCTCAAACAGCACTCAGGACTTCAATCACTTTCTGCAGTGCACTGAACGACCCACAGGTCCTCTGTTTTGGTCACTCTTCTGTTCGATTTCCTTCCTCCTGGGTTTTTCAGCATCTCTGATTGTACTGTGGGAGCTTCTTCAGCGATGTCGACATGGAGCCTTCAACGATATCTTCATGCTCAACCTCAGCTTCATTGATCTGACCTTTACAGTTACACTCCTTCCTTCTGTCTGTAATTACATGCTGTTGCACATTATACAAGTTTCTCAGACTAGTGCTTTCCTCCAGGGTTTGCCTCTGTGTGGTAGACCTCTCTTCATGGCTTGCATTTGTGGAGACTGTTATTTTGCTGTGGTTCATCCCATTGTGTACAAAACAAGTAAGAATGTAAACATGATTAGAAAGATAGCCTCTGTGACAGTTTGGCTAATCACAACTTGCTTTGGTTCATTTCTGATTATTCTAAATGAACCATTCACTACTCCGCTGATCTCTGCTCCTTTAATTTTGGCCCTACCCGTCATAACTTTCTGTGATATATCAGTACTCCGAGCTTTGAGAAAACCAGATCCATCAGGGAACAGCAACATCCATCCACAGAAGAAAAGAGCTCTTCACATCATCATCAACAGCTTCATCATGACGTTCACTGTCTACCTGCCACCAGCAATCTTTTTCTCATTTGCAGAGATATTACCAATGACCAAAACAGATTACTTCTGCACTCTAACTTTCTATGGGATGTGTTTCTGGATTGCTGGATGTGTAATTATGCCTGCTTTATATCTAGACACTTTGGGTAAGATGGATCTTTTTAAAGCCTGGCTGAGAAGGCGTTGAGGTCTCGTGGTTTTTTTTCCACCAAATCTGATCTACCTTTCAAATATTACTTTGAAAGTAAATGTATGTCTGTAAGTCCTTGAATATATTATATGAATTCCATTATAATCAAATGTTGCAATGATGACTTTTTGGACTCATGAACTGATCAATGCATTATTTGTTTTTCACTATATTTGACATAAAGGAATACGCTTGGTGAGACAAGGCATACAAAATTTGGAATCAATCAAACAGAGGGCCATACAGCAACATAAAGACTAGGGGTGTGAATCTCTAGGCACCTCATGATTTGATTCGATTATGATTCAGAGGGCTGCGATGTGATTATAAAACAATTATCGACGTATCTTGATGCATCTTTTTTTCTATACAGGATTTCTGTTTTCTCACTGTGTGAGGACTTGCTACTTTTAAAGCAAAGTATTTGTAATGATCCATAATGAATTTACTTCCAATATCTTTTATTAATAAATCAAATGGAAGTGATGTGCCAAGTGAACTGGAAGGCTCTCATTCACTGCTCTTGTTTGGAGCACATGAGACGCAGGCTGCCACTCATTTGTGATTAAATGCGCTGTTACAGTGACATAAGATCCGGTGGTAATGAGTGTCCACACAGCACGTTACAGCTATTCTACCCGTTTTCTTTAGTGATTTTATACCTTCAGTTTTGGTCTCGCTGTAGAGACAGGGGGATCGCTGTGTCAGTAAAACATCTGCAAGACGTGGTTCTCAACAATGAGAATCGGTGTGCAGACTGCGGGTCACATAGCAATGCGGACAGTCTCGCCTAGCTAGTACCTAAAGAAAAGGCAAAGAGAGAGATTTAAGACGAACATTTGGAGGCGAATGGACTTATTCGCATTTCTAAGCAGCGCAGTTGGTTTCCTGGTATGTTAAATCTGCAACGAGAGACTGTCAAACACTAAAAAGTTGCAAAGATTAAGTCAGCTTCTCTCTCGAATTTCCCCATTCCACCTTAAATGGTGCTGTATTTACATTCTTCACCTCAGTCAGAATTTAAGGTGGAACGGTAAAATTCGAATACAGAGCTGGCAAAAGAGAAGCTGATTTTAGCCTCGTAAAACAGTCGAATGTTGAGAGAAATTTTACAAGAAACTATTCAACTTTTGAGGAAAAGTTTTCTGGCGGGGATGGGAGGAAAGCGCCTATAGCTAAATCTTTAAGCAGCGCAAAGTAAGTCCGCGTTTTCGTTTTTATTTTTTAGGCTATACTAGGACACTAGCACATACTGAGACATACTGGACATTAAATGTGGCGATGCATGTAAGAATCGGATCACAGGATTACATCCCACCCCAGAATGTCTCTATAGCTTTAAAGAACTACACAGCACTACTTGCTGCTAACTCCACCCCTGGCTCAACTTTGAAAAATGCTCAAAAAGGAGGGGCACTGCAGTGATCTATGAGTTTGGAGGTGGGGCTGCAAAGGAAACTGGGTGGGCTGGGCTGCTGTAGTTTTAGAGCTAGCGTACTTTAGCTACCAGAAAATATGGAGAGTGACAGAATCAAACGGCCCTTTTGCAACTGAGAGGTCTTACAAGGTTGACAATTTTTCACTAATACCATCCCAATCTTCAACGAGGGAAGGTGTTTCTGATCAGGCAGCATGTGTCCAGCCTTAACAGTATGACCCACTGACTCAAGCCGCTGAAGAGTTAACATAGCACCAGAAAATGATTAGCAGCGAGCAGCAGAGGCATCCAAATGGTAGACCATTCCCTAAAACCATGACAGCTGGCTTCTAATTATCTGTTCAGCAGGTCCATATTCAATAAAACCCACAACCTGATCTCTTAGATGCACTGATTTCCAAATGAATAAAGTGGATTTCTTTGAACACTGTCTAAGTTTCATTCAGTCTGACACCAAGGTTGCAGAATGCATCAATGGTCAGCCAGGGTTTGATGCAGTGGCCCTAAATCCTTACATTCTGCAAGCTGTTCATGGTACTTAGCTGTGTTACATACGATTCATGCAACACCAGCAGCTTTATGGAGACTCCTCACTTAATCGGTCCAACGTCTTTATTACAAACTAAGCTTAGATCAATTGGGTTATTTACAGTTGGTACAGACAGCTGGCATATCGCAGCCTTGTGAGGTGGTGCTGGGGGTGTTTAGCTCAGTGCGTGAGTGTGGTTATCTCCTCACTTTAGGCTCCTATGCTTTCATATTTATGAGGGCAGCACGAGTAGGGCGCCATGAGGGGACCGTAACATTGTTTGACTGATTTGCATACTCTGACATGTCATGGTACCTTGGTACGAAGACACATAGCAGAGTTGAACCAGAGGGGCGCTGCAGAGGCGGAACTAACCACGATAAAAACGACATTTTAGAAAGATGTGTTCACATTTACCAGCAGGGCTGGTATATTTTATTATTACAGAGAAGTGCATTTCAGCTGTTAATGAAAAAAGGCCTTAGGGTGTAATTACTTAGAAAAGGTTAAGTACTACTTTAAAAACGAAATATGATGTTCTAGATTCCTCTTGTGCTTGGAGTTCACAAATAATGTGCAGTCAGATTATTTTCATAGCTTGTCAGATGATGTAACTTTTATCTAAATGATCAACACCTGTTGTTACATTATGCATAAAATACTAAAACATGACATAACTGAAATGTTTATATCAAAATGCATGTTTGAGTTACAGCCTACCATTTCAGTACAATGCAGCAATCTTTTATTCACCTTTGCTATTTGTACATTAACGAGGTTGGTCAAGTAGTTAAATCTGTTCTGACAACACAGCAGTTTATTACCGTACATACTCTGTTCCACTGTGGGCTGGAGAAAATTGCAGAAAGACTTTCACTTGATTCAAAATTACCCATGGGACCTCAGACTGGTGCTTAATGAGGCTAAGACTAAATATATGCTGTTCTCAAATGTGCTGAGTGTAACTGAGCCCCATATGAAGAGATGCAAAGACATGCAAATATTAGGATTCTGGTTACTTCCATGGAATTTAGTGTGAAACATTTTGTTTTTAATTTTCTAACAAATGAATTCTATTAAATGAAAGTACCTGATCCATTTTAGGTATCATTAGTACTAAGAGCATTGCCCAGTGTTTTGAATGCAAGTTTAACCATATAAGTGTGTGCAAATTCTGTTTTCTTTTCCATTTTTTAATAAAAATTGTAATTTGTTAATAAGATCCAACGAAAATTTTGAAGTTTCATCTCAGTTGGCCATTTCATTACAAATTAATTCATTCAATGAGAGAAAGCATTTTAAAAAAAACTACATTTTACAGTTTTTACCAGTCTCATTCCTTTTCTCTCTGTTTTTCTCTCTCTCTACCTCCTCCCCTTTTACCTCTTCCTGGTCCTTCTCTCACTTTCCACCCTCCTCCTCATATTTACACCACTGAAAGACTAACAGGAGATGACAAAAAGGTAGAGACTGGACTAGTTAAACAACATCTACATGTATCACTTGTCCGTTCTTCTTGAATGAAGACTGGATTGAAGACTTCAGAGTGGCAATCAGGTAAAACATTATACTCCAAGTAATTGCTGATCGGGTTTCTCAAAGCATGTATTATAAATAGTTTCTCCACAGCTTTGATTCTCATGTGTTCCTCTTACAGCTGGTACTATTTATGATTTAAACATGGCAAACGGAGTGACATCCACATCTTTTAATTTATCATCCTCAAACGACACCAATGTTTTGGACTATTTTACAAAGTGTGCTGATAATCCCTTGGGTGTTTGGTTCTGGGCATGCTTCTCTGTAGCCTCCTTTCTGCTGGGTTTTCCAGCCAGTGTGATGGTGATGCTGGAGCTTTTCCATAGACACAGACAAAAAGCCAAAAATGATCTCTTTATGTTTAACCTCACTGTCATGGATTTGACTTTCACAGGCATTATGCCCCTCAGTGTCTGTAATTTCATAATATGGCATAATATGATATTTGAGTTTATTGTAAATTTAATTTACAACCTAGCCCTGTGTAGTCGACCTCTGTTCATGGCCTGTATTTGTGTGGATTGTTATTTTGCTGTGTTGCATCCCGTGATCTACATGACTAATAAGACAAGCAGCATTTTAAGAAAGGCAGCCTCTACAACAGTCTGGCTAATTACAACGTGTTTCGGTTTATATATGGCCTCAGCATCTGCGGCACTCACAACTCCTTTGTTCTCCACGCCTTTCATCACAGCACTGCCTGTTATCACCTTCTGTGACGTTTCAATACTACGAGCACTGAGGAAAAGAAATCCATCAGCAAATAGCAGCATCCATCCACAGAAGAAAAGAGCACTTCTCACCATCGTTAACAGCTTTGTTATGACGTTTATTGTCTATCTACCTCCATCAATCATTTTCTTATTTGGACAAATGATAGCAACGACCAAGACAAATTATATATGTACTTTCGCTATGTTTGGATTGTGCTTCTCCATGGCTGGTTGTGTCATCATGCCTATTCTCTATCTGGATACTCTGGGTAAGCTGGACTTTCTTAAAGACTGGTGGTGGACATAAAACGTGTGTGTGTGTAAAAATATTAAAGTATTAAAGAAATAGAAACTATAAGAGTGTATCTAATATTTGCTGTATATGTACATTTGCTTAATACGCATTCACATCTCATTTCATAGTATAAAAAGCACTGTCAGGTGATGTATTGGACCAACAGAGTTATCTAAGTGGTGGACATCAGTACTGCACACATGAAAATACAAGTTTTGCATAATATCCCACCTTCTGTGGACCATACCTGCAATGACCTGAGTGTGCCATTTACATTTATTTTGATCTGTCTGTGTAAATTACACAAGGCATGGGATGAAACGACTGAAAACTCAGTGGAACAAAATCAATATCTATGCAAAAGAGTTCATGGATTTCATGACCTATAACCAATCCTAAATAACAATGGTCTATGATTCGTGCATTGTACAAAGTCTGAATGAATTTCTTGGTAATCCCATACAAGTGAATATAAGAGGGCAAATGTGCCATAACTTTTACCATTACACTGACAGCAGTTTGTTTCTCATGAGTTACTGAACATTCATAATTGGTATGGACATGGGTTTCAGGTTGAGTCAAGGACACCATGTAAGGTAGAAA